CTTTAACTCAGTGGACCACTTACCCTGATTATGTGTCCCACGAAGCAGTCAGCTGTTCATACACAGCAGATATGTATGTTCAGCCTATGTGTCCCAGTTACACACTGGTTGGACCTTCATCTGTTCTGACTTATACTTCTCAACCGCTGATCACCAATTTTGCAGTAAGTCAGAAATACCTAGGTATAAATGACAGCAAATTCGCCACCTTCTAGCAAGAGCCATGGGGAGTGCTGGATGTAATTAGTATTATTTATTTAATTACTATAATGTTGTATGTCTTTGCATCCATGCCACATAGTTGTTCTAGCAGTGGCCCTGTCTGCACTGTGCTGGACATTGATATGGTTTGAGCAGGACAAAAAGTTGTGGCTGCGCTGAAATCAGGCATACTTCACTGCCATTTGCCCAGCTCTTTGCACTCCTCCAGACTTATTAACACATACACTGTTCCTTGCTGTTGTCCTGGGAAACTAGTCATCTCTCATCAAGTCAGCAGCAGGGCTGCCATTGCCCTGAGTTTGTTCAAGTCTATGAACAGTTATTTACAATAGGAGAATACTGTTTGCAGCTCAAGGATAATAATGGGGAATGTTACATTTACTGTCATCATCACTTCCAACTTGAGGAGCTGTTCTTCAGCTTGCATTTGGAATACCTGAGGAAGCAGAATTAAAGTAGTTCATTGAGAGGATGCACATTATAGTCAATAAATGCTGCTGTTTGGACAAGTACTTAGGACACAGTCCCACCAGAGATCTGAGAAGTATCCAGGGGATTCTTCACTATTTAATTCCAAACTTTAAAAAAAAAAAAAAAGTAAATGGGATTCCAAGAAACACATCCACCAGGTGAAGCAGGAAGAATGGCTTGGCAATAAATTTCTCAAAAATTGCTATTTAAAGATGTAAGGGCAAGGCCAAAATAGCGCATAAACATAGCAGAATATTTGGTTTCATTCTGGACAAAATCTGTTTGGCTGACCCAAGGTGATTTGTTCTTCTTTAGAGGAGAAGGGCAGAGAATTCTGTTTCAATTGAACTCAAGCAGCTTATTTTTCTGTTAATGTTTCAGTTCAGCTGCTGACAATGACACACCAAATCAGCAAAGGCCCATGCCTGTGTCCTGTGGCCTTCACTGGTGAGGAAGGGCTATCATTTCAAATGTGGCTCTGCCTTGGCTGACAGGGGCTGGTCAGGATAGACTGTCACAGATGCCAGAATAAGCTGCCTTCAGCCTTGTGGCAGCAAAGTTGTGCCCATGCATTCAACTTGCAAGAGAGACTGTCAAGGGTGGCAGTTTTCAGCACAGGGTGTAACTGTCTCATGGGCTTACAGTGAGGGTGGTAGTGGGAACAGAAAGCTAGAGGGAACTTGACGTGAGTGTGAGCTACTGGCAGCAAGCACCTGGGACACCCACAGCCACTGCTCTCATGGGAGCCAGCATGCGAAACTGTCACACTCAGTATAACTCTTTATAACCCTTTATGCAGAGAGACAGGAAAAGGGATGTTAAAGGTGAGACTGAGCATCCTTAGTCTGTTGGTTTGTGTCCTCCCCCTGCCCTGCCTGGCCAATTGCTTTTATTTTGTTTTATTTCTCTTCTATTTTAACAGCCCCGAAGCACCACTCCCGCTGTAGTGCCTCAGCTCGAAGTGACGGATCAGCAGCCATCTCTCACATACTTTCCATGGGCACAGCCCCTCTCTGCACTGCCAGCCTCCACTTTGCAGTACCAGCCAGCTTCTTCCACACTTTCCGGGCCTCAGTTTGTGCCCTTGCCAATCTCCTTTCCTGAACCAGCCCCCCAGGAGCTGGAGGATGCCAGGCGAGTCATCGGCACACTGCCCATTGAGAAGCTGCTTCTAGAAGATGAAGACAATGATACGTATGTTTTAAACCATGCTCTCTCTGTTGAAGGGCTTTAAGTTGCACATCTGGGGCCTGATCCTCACCTACTCAATACTCCACCTGGCACCACAGTGAGTTTTGAGTACAGAGGAAAAGCAGGCTGGGGGGTGGGGTGGGAACTTTGCTTGCAATTTTGGTGTCTACCTCTAGCACACCGTGACTTGTGTGTTGTGTGAAACTTGCTTTGTGCTGGGGCCCAGCACAAGATTTCTCTGCTGTTACAGTTCCTGCTACCTCTCCAAAGCAGGCTTTTGATATTGCATAGTTCTTGTGCTCAGCACCAGCACAAGGTGACTTTCATCCTCCAACACAGGGCATGGTCTCAAATTGACATACTATAGTGTAACCGTGGCCAACTGTAGCATTTGGTGAGGGTACACTTGCCGCTAAATATTGGCAAGACCTAGTTCAATAGGACGGCTTTCCAGACCTCAGTGTAAATGCCTTGTATGTGTGTGTCTTTGCCCTATCCGTAGAGGAACCTCTATCTGATCTAGGCCACTAGAAACATTTTGGGGGCCTAAATTGACATTTTTCATTCCTAAATTGAACTGCTCCTTTGGAAAATAGGGAAATGAAAAGTGTAGTTTTGTTCTACTGGTGCAGGTAGATGCATTAGTCTGAAGACAAAAAGTCAATACAGCTGAACTAAACGCCAGTGCAGTCAGACACCTTTGTTTACAGAGCAACACAAAGTAGCCTAGCCGAAAGGTTTGAGTTCACACAAACGTGTAACTTGAAGGTCTCACCTTGTCTGCCATTGGAAGACAGCCATGTAGGTATGGGACAGTGGTTTGGAGTCATGGTCTTTCAGCTGCAGAATGTTTTTGGACTCTAAAATATCCACCTTTGAGACGGGGGGCTGATTTTCTGGCTGGCTGGTAATGCTGCATGTTCTACCAATGGACAGATCCTGGTCCCACTGAAGTCACCGGGAGTTTTGCCTGAGTTAGGATTGCAAGACATGGCCCTGTATGAGGAGATCATTGAGAAGCCAGGGTCTTCCAAAACCTGGACTTCAGTCTAACAAGGAATTCACAGCATTACTATTAGCTGGCAATACTTGCGTTTGTTCTGTAGCATCTGAGTGTGAAGTTGGTGATGTCGTGCTGAGCCAGGGAACCTTAGTGACCTCTCTTGTGCCTTACTGCTATGGAAAGTTTCTCTGTGCTGTGTTTCTCCAGGCGTACAGGTGCACACATTTTCTTTATAGCTTTCTGATTTTCTTTCCTGGAGAATGAGTAGCCTTACCTTTTCCTCTGACGCAACTGTAAATACTATTGTTGATGTTCAGGAGTGCCATGCCACAGGCAAATATATTTACAGGAAATATATCCCCTTCTAACTCTGTTTATTATTTTCTTAATAAACAAGGGACTCTTGGCTGGTGAACACAATTTCTCTGGGTTTTTCTGCTTTCTAAGGCCCAGGATCCTTAGGTGATTTTATTATTTGCAAGACTAACTGCGAAATAATTTATTACACTGTTTATTACCTGGTGTCCAGCAGTCCAGTTGCCACCCAGGCAATATTTCAAGTGACCTTACAGTTTATGCCTGAGTGAGGTTTGCAAGCTCAGGTTGAAAGTCTTGAGGACTTTCAAAGCATATTTTGTTATTTAATATTGACAAATCTGGAAGATACAAGCAATGGATCATGTAAGTGATCATAAAGTTCTTTGAAAATAGCAGTAGTTCAGGTGTATTGAAATTAGTGGCTTACATTTGCAGAAAAACCCGGCAAAGAAATTAATTAGAAGGAGCTTAGTTCACCACCGCTTACTCCAGTTTTAGAAGTACAAAGACGTTCAGTAGGTAAAACTGGGATAATGCAGTTGTGAATCAAGCCTGTGGTTGCTAAGATTGCTTTTAAATTTCTTTCACTCCGATGTATGTAAATTTTGTGTGTGAATATAAAGCAATGATGAACTGTTTCAGAATTTCTTTCTGGGTTGTTCTGATTAGAAAAAGACAAAATCTTTTTCAATAAAGATCTACAGTAACTTTCATATGCCTAGAGTGTTTTATTTCCTATCCAAAAGGGTAACCCAGCATTGATTTAGCAATCAATTAGTTCAATAACATATGTACAGGCTAGAATCACAGATTAACTGTTAGACTGTCTGCTAATTTTGCACATTAAGGCAGACTAAGGAGGAACTCCATGATCCAAATATGGCCTGGAGGCACCATTTACTCAAGCAGTCCTTACTCACAGAAGTTCAGATGTTAGTTCAATCGCTATTATCCTCTATTGGTATCCTGGGGATGTGTGGGTGTGCAGCCACAGCTAATGCTGAGCTTGACTGAAAATCAGACTAGCCATACAGTTGCATTTCTACTTCCTGAAATTGCAAGGTGTGCCTCTGGGGTACAAAATTACCTGAGGAAAGAAATGACTGCCTACCACCTTCTGACTAAAAAGTATCCAATGTTGCTGTCTGGAGCGAAACAAACCCAGGGGCTACTGCCTGTAGGATGGTCTCCTCGTGTGCAAAGAGGAATTGCAAAGCTACCTGTGCATGCCCGGCACCCTTGCAAATAGGATCTGGGGGAATGAAAGTGGCGAGTAGCTCTGTGTAATTCTCTCCAGTTCCAGCCATAGAGCCAGGCAACCAACGTGAAGCAGTGAAGTGTTTTCCCCGTCGCTAAGGGCCATGTCACCAGCAAGCCCATAACTGCTATGGTTGTGACAACTCTTTGTCTTATGCCCAAGATAAGTCCCTCTCACCAGCAGTTTTGATAAAGAGGTAGAGCTTAACAGGCTGTTTACAAATACATGATTTAGAAGAGGCTGTTTGTCACCCCGAACGGTGAGATATCACCAATGCATACGAGGCCATATCATCCCAACAAGTGATACATACATACAATATGGTACGCTGGGCCCCAACACTAGGCTTTGTGGAGGACTTGGATACCTCCCAGCACAAGGGCGAATCTCACCTGAAAGAAAGTGCTGAAGTGGAAAGGAGACAGCATGGCAAAGCTCAGGACTGCTGAGGGCTCTTGAAAGCTGCAGTTATTTTGAGGTAGAAAGCCCTTTCCATGAGTGGGTGCTTTCAAGGTCAAGCCTTTTGGGGCTTATGACATGGTTTTGTGGAACACTGGGTATAAAACCCCTAAAGTGGCTATGCTACCCTGTAAAACTGTTTGCTCCCAGGGTGGTTCATGGCCAAGCAGTGATCGGTGTCTTTATTTACTGTCTTAGAATTCTACATATTTATGCAGCTAAAGGTATGAGGGCGTACACATTGGCAGCTGCAGAGCGCATGAAATTGCTGCGAAGACTTGATGCCAAGGAACATAGAGGAAAGGTAATACGGACCACTTTCTCCTGCAAACAGCTGTGTTTGGGATGGGCATGGGCTTTGCGTGACTGAGAGCAACTGATGCCCTGAAAAATCCAGCTCTGCCTCTCTGTTACTGCAAAGGAAGCCTTGGGCGTTGATAGGCCTTGTTTAGGTGCCTCTAGCAGGATCCTAAAATTAGGTGGGATGAGAATGAGCTTTTTCTCTATTCAGCCCATGGTTCATAGAGTGGTCTAAGACAACAGTGGTCCAGGAAAATATATGTATGTTGGCAGTAGTCTCTAAGGCCAAAAGTTTTATGAATTTATGCTAAAAGTGCTGCACCTGACATAAACAGTGTTTCAAAAATACTGGACTTGTATTATCATCCAAATTAGGGCCATTGCAGCAGGAGCTGGGAAATGCCCCCTATCTCGTGACGCCATGGGCCTTAATATGTGGGATTCAAAATCTGTCTGTGAGCTGTCTTTGGTTTATGCACCACAATCCTTGGGATTCTAGATACCATTCAGCCCAGACTGCCTTTTGCCGTTCCTTGTTTTGTGATAGCATCTGCTTCTAGACTCTCACATTTTATTTGCTGTGCTGCTATTTTCAGACTCCTCTGCTGGTGGCTGTCACTGCCAGGCAACCAGCTATTGTCTATGATTTGATCCAGACAGGAGCAGATGTCAATGCTGTAGACAACAAAGGGCAGTCAGCTTTACATCTTGCTGCAACATATGGGTATGCCCAAGTTCTTCAGGTAGGAAAAGCTTTTATGGTTTTAATTGCTAGCAATATAAACCTACAATAAAGTCTCAATATTGGTGTCTTTAAATAACTGTCTCAGAAGGCAATATGTCAGTAAGCAATGAAGACTGACTAAAGTCTCCTTTTCATTGTGTTAGGCATCGACTTCCCAGGTTATTCCTGTTTCAGGACTATACTTGCAGCTCCTGTTACAGAGGAAATGGCTTTAGCGTATCTGCGGGGGGAAATAAATTCTTTCTGCAGATCATAGCTCTAAATCTGCTGATGGCAGGCCAGGCAGAGTGGGCTTGCTCTGGCTTGAGCCCCCACTGTTATACTGATGCCTGCGTTGGAGGAGGTTCCCCAGAGGCTGCAGGCAGCTGTGGGGTGTGAGGAGCGGGAGCAATAATAGCACTGTGAAACCCCCTCCCTGATGTCAGTGTCATCCAGGCAGGAGCAACAAGTTGTGTCCAGACTCAAGCCAGCTGAAGAGAGAGCAGATGTGACCCTGCAGACAGAGCCAGCACAGGCACAGCCTTCAAAATGAGATGCATTTTTCAGATTTTATGCAAAACCAAGATCCATCGAGAAGATTTTCCAGGGCGTGAGAGAAACTAGATACTCCTGTACAGCCAGAATCTACTAGACCTTTCATGACTTATATGACCAGATCTTCGCTTCCCTATTGCTTCACAGATCTTTCTGTAGACAGGGTCTACAACTAAGTTGTGTGCCAGCCAGACTCTAACGGCCCTGAAGAGCAAATCAGCACATTAGAAAAGGCACTGTAAGAATTTTTGGAAGGGATTACATAGCAGAGATAAGCATACTGGAACGTGTCTCTCAAATGCTTAGCTATTGGCCATAAAACGGAATTAATAAAACGTGCCTTCCTTGATTCATGTCAGGATTGAGTATAGGCAGCTTCAATGCAGAGTTTCATTGCAGCAGCATGGCTGCTGATGAGTTTACCTGAGGGCAGGGCACAGGGTCCTCTGAGGATGAGGGATGTGTCAGTGGAAGTGCCAGGGGGATACCTGGCATGCTGGCAGTCCATCTCCAGCATTCATTAGCTCTGCCTTGCACACGCCCTGGGTTAAGTCATGAGCAGGCAGTTAATGTGTAACATTGCGAGTTCTTTGGAAAACAGGTGTTTCATTCAGTGGGGAAAAGTGTTATACATCCAGATGATTCCAACAAAGCCTCTCAGAGTGCCTTGTGGTGGTTTGTGTTTTGTTTTTTGTTTTGTTTCAGTTTTTTTTCCCTTGACACAAAAAGGGAAAATGCACACAGGCTTGCTTCTCAGTGTGGTCAAAGCCATGAAATGCTTTAGGGTTTGTTTGTTTGTTTATTTTAATTGTTTTCTCTAATGGATTAAACATCTACTCCCTAATCATCAGGCAGCTCAGAGCTACTTGTCAATATTTGTTCTATATATATTACATTATTGTTATGGAAAGACAGCACAAGCCCTAACCGTTCTGGATAATCTTTCAGCAGAAGGATTCTGTCCTGCACCTTGTCTAACTTGACAAGGTTCTGGATGAATCACTGCACTGCAAAAATTCTCAGCCAAGATGTTGTAATGTGAACAACCTGCTTTATTCAATCACGAGCAAAAAATGCATTATCTGTATTAATATAGACAATAGTATAAACTTGGCTGCATCTCATCGAATCTATCATTTTCTTAAGTTAGAGTTTTAAAATTTTTACTTTCTGTTAAATCCAAGCAATGCTCATCTCCAGACCACTGTTTCATGCTGTTTATAGGCTCTGCATCCTTATTGCTGCAGCCGTTGCAACAAGCTGTGGTTTTAACCTGTCACACTGCTGCACATTAAAAAGAAAAAGTAAATAAATCCAGTCTGAGAATTTCCAATGTCAGCAAACTTTTAGGTAATAAAGTCTGGCTGTACATGACTAGGAGAGATTTTCATTTATCCTTGCCAGTAATAACTCAGAATAAATATGAAATGGTGTTATTGGTGCCTTTGCTTAATCCAGGGTGAAAACGAGGAGGCTAGCACTCTTGAACTGGGGCCAGTGACTTAATTTTACTGTTCTGAACTGAGAATCTAATAGGAACCTATAGTTAGGTGGGGTTTTGGAAACTAGGGAACATGATCATCTTGTATAACCCTGAATGTCCCTGTTAGGAAATAGATTCACAACACTGAAATCTAGTGTCAAATAAGGGCTTAGTTTATAGTTAAATGATAATTATCTGATTGTTTCTTTGTTTGTTTTTAAATTTTGTTAGTTTTGACTGATTTTGGCTTGGACAGTGTTCTGCTGAACTAAAATTTTCCATTTCTTTGTTGCTTCTAGGTTATACTGTCACTAGGTTTCCCTCTTGATTTAGAAATGAAGGATTTTGAAGGTATAACTCTTTGTACAAATATTTTACAGTGGTATTACAAAAAATTAAAAGCTGTATTGGCTATTTCATTGACTGGTGCTCATTGGTATTTGGTGGTATGCTAGGAGGCCAGAGTGACCTCAGAAACTGCCTGGGGGAGAGTCGTTGCAGTGCACTCAAATGCCACAGAATTCAGTGGTGCTGATGATTCAATGCTGATTCAATGCACAACTGGAACTGAGCACATGCTGGAGTGCCCCATGAAGTGTCTATACAACCAATATGGTACCTTTGAAACCAGAGAAGGGCTTGTGCCTTAACAACACATGTGCAGACATGCATATGCTCTCCCTGCCAGCCCTCGCTTCCTCTCTGTACATCAATGTCTTTGTTGGGACTGTTGTTATCTTCCTCCTGTACTTGGTTTTCCAGGCCATACCCCACTCCACTGTGCTGTTCTGGCCCACAATGCCCTGCTCCGGGAGCAGGGTTCCCAGACATTGATGGAGGAGCCGCACAAAGATCTTCATCACCAGAGTGAAGAGCTGGAGTCCTGTATCCACCTCCTGGTGCAGACAGGAGCCTCCATCTACAGCCGGGTAAGGGATCGGCTCAGTTATCCGTATGCTGTTTGTTTGTAGGCGAACTCTCCCCTGCCCTGCCTGACGCTTGTGTTGTGCTCAAACTATAGAATTCGAGAAGGAATGAACTGCTGACAGAAGAACCAAGCCTGTTCCCCTCTCAAGTGTCTGGTTGCAGAGTTAGTTGCTACCTTTTGGAGTTACTTTCTTGCAGCCTGAAGCAAACACTGGACTGTA